GGCCCGCAGGGACGACATGCTGCACTGTGCTTCCGAGAGCGGCCACAGCGGGAAGCTCGGCCCCGGCACCAGCACGGCCTGGGTTCGGATCCCGGCTCTGCCCCCGGGTTCGGATCCCGGCTCTGCCCCGGGTTCAGGGTTCACCACCTCGAGCGCGGGGCAGGCTCGGCAGGGAGGGCGCCGGGCCGCGTGCGCCGGGCTTCGGGGTCCCGCAGTGCGCATGCGTGCATGCTTGCTCGGGGAGCCCCGCCTCTGCTCCGACACCCGGCTGACTCCAGACCCGCACCCCTCCCCGCCCCCGCCCCGTCAGCACGCCGGCGGGAAGCAAGGCTGGGGAGCAGGTCAGCGTCACTCCAGCCACCGGGACCTGCTGCTCCTTCCCGGGGGCCGCACAGCCCAACGGCTCATGTCCAGGGATTCAGTGCGAGCCTAGAGCTGCCACAGGGGAGGGCGGGAGCCCGGTGGGGCCGGGGGCAAGGGCAGCCTCTTAGGAGGGCACTGCGGGTACCCCAGGCCGCCCTGGGATGGCAGACTAGGCTGGGGTCACCCGGAGCTCACACCTGGCCTTCGCATCCCTGCTGGTCCCTGCACGTCGGTGACCGTGTGGGCTACTGTGCTCTGGCTTTTGGGGAGAAGGCACCTTCTCCGACAGAAGATGGGGGTGGGGATCTGGGACGCAGAGGTGGCGGGAGGACAGTCTGGGACCAGCGGTGGGTGTTTGCTTAGCCTTTGGGGTCCCTGTGTGACCCAAACGTGACCCTTCCACACGCAGTTCACTGTTTCCTTACAAACGCTATGGTGGCCCCGAGGCCCTGCCCCAGGACCCCTGTCAGCTGTCCCCAGGGGGGTGGCCGAGGGCCTGGTGAGGGCGGCCAGGCAGTCCTTGGGACTGCCACAGGGCCTCCCGGGGCCTCAGGGCCTCAGGGCCTCAGGGCCTGCAGGCAGTGGGGGACCTGGCCTGGTTCCCAGCTGTCAGGGTCAAGGCTCAGGCAGTCCCGTGGTGGGCGTGGGGGCGCGGGGTCAGGATGAAGAGGTGGCTGGCCGCGTGTACAGCTGGCACCAGAGCTCTCTCATTTCCCACCACGCTGATCTGACGGGGAGGTTCCGGCCCGGGGAACAGTGCCGGGCCGCGCGCCTCGTTCATAGCAGAACAGAGCTCTGCGGGAAGCGCCCTCCCCACCAAGGCCGCTTTCTTAGTGGTGCGTGTGACACATACACATGCACATACGTGCACAGAACAGATGCACACCCATGTAGGCCGCACACATGAACACGTGTGCACACATGCACATACACACATGTGCACACATGCACATACAAGCAAAGGCACACACAGAACAGATGCACACCTGTGTAGGCCGCACACACGAACACACGTGTGCACACATGCATGCACTCACACATAAGCAAATGCACACATGCACAGAACAGATGCATACGCATGTAGGCCACACACATGAACATGTGTGCGCAATGCACACACATGCACACACATGTACAGACGCAGCCCATGTAGGCTGCACACATGCACAAATGCACACACGTGCAATACACACGCACACACACATGTGGGAGTTGTGGTCGGGCTCTGTGTTTGTCATGTTGAAGTCCTGTCCTGCCCCGCAACCCCCAGCAAGGGGCTGGGCCCTTCCTGGGTGCCGTGGGCCAGGACCAGGGGCGCGAGTGCCTCTGGCTAGGGGCCTGGTCTGGCATCTGCATCACGAGGCCGCTTCTCCCCGGGAGACACCTTTCCGGCTCTGAGCTCTGAGGAATGGGGGAGGGGACGGGGGGCAGTCACGGCAGCTCTGGCAGCGTCTGGGCCCTCATCAGACCCCCCTCCTGAAGCGGGGGCTCGGTGGCTGGGGAGGGCCTCCTGTCTCCGCCAGGAAGGCTGCTGTGTCCCCCCCGCTCTAGGGCTGCAGTAGGCACAGGCCGCCTCATGGGAGAGGCGGGGGACGAGGTCTGAGTGAAGCACGAGTGAGGGGCCTGTTCCTTTGGGTGGGTGAAGGAAGCTTCCAGAAGCTTTTCATCTGCTCCAAGCCTTCACTCTAAGCTTTGCAGCTGCTCCTCTGGGGGGCCCTGGGGGTCTTGGCACCACCTGTAGTAGTGAGGCCTCCCGCCCCCTGGGTGGGGCCAGGGGCAGTGAGGGCCTGGGGGCTTGGGGCGGTCAGCCTCCAGGGGTCGCAGTGCCCCTGACCTGAGGTGGGAGGCTTTAGGACTCTGGGAGTCTGGGGCTGGAGGGTCTGGTTCGGGGTCTGGGCTGCTGCAGCCCCGAGGGAGCCTGACTCGGCAGGAGCATTTTCCACGAGCTGGGCCCTGGCCAGGCGTGCGAGGGGAGGGCGGGCCTCCAGTGACCAGTGGTCAACATCTAGAGTCTTAGGCAGAGTAGCCCAGACCCCGGAGGGGCCCTGGGGGGAGGCGGCAGCGAGGGCGGGCTGGGACTGGGACGGAGCTGGCCAGTGGAGGGGAGCAGGCAGGCAGACGCCTGTGCAGTCCCAGGCCGTGCTCGGGACCCCCACTGGTGTGGCCGCCTGGAAAGTCTCCACCACTGGCCCCAGAGACTCAGGCCTCAGCTGCTCCCTGCCCCCCGGCCAGGCCCAGAGGCTGATGCTGGGGGCTCATGGAGGTGGACTCCGGTCCTGGATGCATCATCAGAACTGCTGTGTGACCTAGGAAAGCCCTTTGACCTCCCTGTTCATCACCATCCTCCCTGGTGAGATGAGGACACTGACCCTTGATCTCAAAGCTGGCTCTCACATTACTTCAGGGGTCTGGGGGCCCCTGGACAGTCGGAGCAGAAGAGGGCTTCGGGTACAGGAGGCCGGGCAGGTGAGGGGCTGACGTAGGCAGATGCAGGGGGAATCTCGACCCAGCAGGATGGCCCTGGGCCGGGCCTCCCCTGCGCCTCCTCTCGGGGTCCCCTTGGAGGTCAGAGGACTTGCCCCGTGCTTGGCCTCCACAGAGGGCAAAGGGCTGCTCTTGACTGCGAGTGTGGCATGGCCATGAGCACTGACCTCGGGTTGGATGGACCCGTCATAGAGCAGGAGTGACAGGTGGGGCCTCTGGGGACGCACTCACTGGCAGGACCCACTGCCCAGAGCCCGCCAGACTCTGCCTCCAGGTGCAGGGGTTGGGGGACTGGCCCCGGGTCACAGGGACACGGTCAGGGAGGGACTGACCCCAGCTCCCAGCCCAGCTGCACTGTCTGGGTGCAAATCCTGCCAGGCCTGCCGCTGACCGGCTGAGCCCCGCTGGCTCCTCTGGAGAATGGGGACCCATGTCCGCACCCACTCCAGTGGGTCACAGGCACGTCAGTGTGGGGTGTGTGTCTGTGTGTGCCCCAGGGGCGTCTGCAGGAGACACGGGAGGTGCGGAGCCTGGCTCCCCCATGGGCAAAGTCCCCCACAGTGCCCCCTCAGGGGCTGTGAGTGGTGGGAAGCACTGCGGGAGGGGGGAGAGAGCTCTGACCCCGTGTGTTCCCAGCCTCCTCCTCCAGGAAGCCCCCTGGGCCTCAGACTGGCCTAGGCTCCTTCCCTACCCCCCTGCCTAACCCCATGGGGCTGCCTGGTTCTGTCCCCCGAGGGTCTCCCCCAGAGCTGCAAGGCCCTCCTGTGCTGTGAGCGGGCAGGCCAGGCCCTATACTTAAGAGCTTATCAGCAGCTCGCCCAGGCAGCAGCCATCGGCTGTGGGTGCCAATATATGGGCTGTGAACTGTGAACGCAGGTGCTGGGGCAGGGCCATTAGACTTGCAAATGGACCTACAGCCCGGCCTGCGGAGGCGTCACCCAGTGGAGGGGGGACTGGGGGACCCTCGCCTGGAGCAGCCCAGCCTGCCCCTCCCCCGCTCCGAGGTCACCGGCTGCTGCTGCTGAAGGTGGC